GGTCTTATTATCAATCGGTATTATCACCACACCGTCTTATCACAAAACGGTCTTATCACGAAACGGTCTTTTCACCACACGGTCTTATCACCACACGGCCATATCACCACACGGTCTTATTACAACACGGTCGTATCATCAAACGGTATTATCATCAAATGGTCTAATTTCCACACGGTCTTATCATCCCACGGTTTTATCACAAAACGGTCTTATCACAAAACGGTCTTATCACAAAACGGTCTTATCAACACACGGCCCTATCACCACAAGGTCTTATCACCACACGGTTTTATCACCACACGGTCTTATTATCAATCGGTATTATCACCACACCGTCTTATCACAAAACGGTCTTATCACGAAACGGTCTTTTCACCACACGGTCTTATCACCACACGGCCATATCACCACACGGTCTTATTACAACACGGTCGTATCATCAAACGGTATTATCATCAAATGGTCTAATTTCCACACGGTCTTATCATCACACGGTTCTATCACAAACGGTCTTATCACAAACGGTCTTATCAACACACGACCCTATCACCACAAGGTCTTATCACCACACGGTTTATCACCACACGGTCTTATTATCAATCGGTATTTATCACAACACCGTCTTACCACAAAACGGTCTTATCACGAAACGGTCTTTTCACCACACGGCCATAACACAACACGGTCTTATCACAACACGGTCGTATCATCAAGCGGTATTATCATCAAACGGTCTTATCACCACACGGTCTTATCACCACACGGTCGCATCACCACACGGTCGCATCATCAAATGGTCTTATTTCCACACGGTCTTATCACCAAACGGTCTTATCACCACACAGCCTTATCACCACACGGCCTTATCACCACACGGTCGCGAATAATGTTATCCTTGTTTTCATGAACTATAGTAGTTAATTATTATGATTATTCAACTGTAGTAGTTAATTAATATCCGTATTTGCATGAACTATCGATAGTAGTTAATTATATTCTACACCAGATGTTATCTTAATAAAGAGGCTTCAGGATTTTCGTATATTCCATGCAAATGAGATCCGGATTTAAGAAAATTACTTTTACCTTTTTTAGATTACTTCCTAGATATAAAATCACCAGGATATGCAACGCTTGATGTTATTATATAAAAGTTATAATTTTCTCTTCGATTATGCATTAAGGACTTTCTTTCCTCTTTCCGCTTTCTTTCTTTTTTTCTTTCTTTCTTTCTTTCTTTCTTTCTTTCTTTCTTTCTTTCTTTCTTTCTTTCTTTCTTTCTTTCTTTCTTTCTTTCTTTCTTTCTTTCTTTCTTTCTTTCTTTCTTCAAGAATAAAACCAAAAGGTTCTACGGTACTATAACAAATCTTAATTTAGTCATTTTAATACCAAATATTAAGGCAATCCATTTAAGACTTCCGAAGTTGTCGTGTTAAAAGACTGAGAGAGAGAGACACACGGACGCGTTGGAAAATATAACCTTCTTGGAAGGTAATAAAGAGTTAATGTTTGTGAACATGCCTGGCATTTCTTTATTGAAGGCTCTTTTGCAAAGGGATATGATAGAGGGGCTATTTACCAGTAATAAACATAATCATGTATTAATATTAATGGAATAATGCAGATAGTTAAGTCTAGGCTTTAGTAACTTGTTAATATTTGTATTAGTTTATTAGGCGTTAGAAGTTATGTGAACAGATTTTGTTCGAGTTTCGACGTAAAACATTGGCCAGTTCCTTGCTAATACCAATTCACCTAAAATATATTTTTCTTTCATCATTTAGCAATTTACCATGCCTGGGATTATTTTGTGTTTCACAGCTTTCACAATTATTCAATGGAAACTTCATCGTATGGCTTCCTTGTGTATGACTTTATGTATGCGTGACAGCATGTATTGTAAACATGAGCTTCGTCATTGTAAAGTGTTACGCAGTATTTTCTAAGTGCATACCCATATTAACGTGTACAATTTTAATATACCCCTTGGGTTGACTTTAGCTGTTCATATGTAAAGCCCGCTATGACATAATTAAAGTCTATCAGTGAGACAAGAGACTTCATGTAATACAATAAACTTAAAGATGCTTTGTACTTTTATATCATTTCGAAGAAACAGTGGACAATGTTTAAGAAAGATGCAGTTTATTTTTTTAATCTCTCAAAGGTCTAGGTCGAGGAAGCATGGTTACCAGAATGATTGACAGTGTTCCAGAATTTGACTTGCCTGCACTGTGGGTATTGATAAGATAATTAGCTTTAGCTTAAGTAGATTAGGCTGTTTGAAGAAGATTGTGACACTATGTAGGTCAGTGATAATGGACTTAGCAAGCTTGTCTGTGCAGAAATTGGATTGATTATCAATACAGCAAGCAGAAGTGAATATGTAAATGCCTATTCGGTATTGAAACTTTTTTACATGTTGTTTCGTTGGCATCATAACACTGTAACTGTGGCGTTCAACTGGCCAGGCTACCTTGTGGGGACCTTTTAGCATTGCGATTAGTGCATTGTGGGCTGGTGACGCAGGTTCAAATCTGGAAAGCCAGGAGACTGTACTGTTTGCTCCTGTGAGTAATGGCAAAATGTGCCGTACGGATTGAACAGAGATTCAAGGACAAATCTAAAAGTTGAGTTGTGTAAAAGTGGGGTTCAAGCACCAACAGATCTGTTAGTCTAACTTGTCCATACCTTTCAGTCTTACGGTTAGTGCATTTTTCTAAAATTCTGTTTTCTTTTACCAGAGTGACCCTCTCAGTGGCTACTGCACTGCTTTACAGCGGGGCCCCGGACACATAGTACATACAACACACATATGTACAAGGAACAAAACGATGTAAAACATACAGAACCAAGAATTCCGAGATTTCATACCTCCATGAAATATGGGCTTGATATGTAAATGTGCCTGCAGTTACAGAACAAGCTGCTAGGGGGACAAAACTCACACCACTTATTCCTGACAGGAAAAGCAATCTGTCATAAAAACATCAAGACCATAGCATGTTCAGGACAAAAGATACAAAAACCGGAAGTTCCGCTGCAGTACCAAGGTCATCCACCAGGAGGCCCATATTTGACCTTGACGTTTGTCTTCCTAAGACTTACCAACATACCAAATATCACCATAATCCATAAAGGCGTTCTGAAGTTATGCTGACCACAAAGTTGCGGAAACACAGACAGACACACACACAGACACACCGAAAACAATACCTCCATTTTTCATGGAGGTAATAGCAACAGGACAAAACGTCATCAAATACAAAGTCAGTATCCATACTCATAGCCCATATACCGGTCCGTTTGTCATTAGGTTAGATGAGGTCAGAGGTCAGCCCAGGTTTTCAACATGCGCTTGAAAGAGGAAAAAGTAGATGTTGATTTTATACTCTGTGTAATCTCATTCCAGCTACTAGCTCCTCTGTAACTGAACATGCGCTTGCCACATTCAAGGTGAACTTATAATAGCTTTAACGACTGACCTAAACTATGCCGGGTTGGGTTCATGAGTTGGTGGTGCAGGTTCAGATCCCTTGAAACTGTACTACCCACCCCTTTGTGTTTTAGCACAGTTGTGCAGACACTTTTGTTACATGTAGGTTGTATTTTTTAGCCATGTGTATATTTGTGTTCTGCCTTTTAACTTCATCAATTGAATGGAAAATAGTAATTCTTAAGTCAGATTTTGATTCGGGAGGTGGTAAAAGAACATTTAAGTCACTGTGTAAATCAATAATGTCTCCTTGGAATCTAATCAGCTTTTCGACTCCTGCAGTTATTAAGGTTTCTGTCAGGTGGCAGCACTGAATGGTCTTTGTGTTGTACAGTCATCATGTACAGTAAAGTGATAAAGTTACAGTCTTATGAAAGGATGTGAATTAACCTAGTACCTGGACCACATGTCAATGTTTTTGTTTAATATTCATATCATATCACTGTCCTTCAATTCCAGTGTTTACATTCCTTACACTACAGTTGCATTTAAGAAAAGCATTTTTGGCAACACCTCGGGTTGAAGCCATTCATAAGACATGGTCATTTCTCATTGAACCATTAAATTTCCACTCAGCAATTTATAAGGTGGTTATAGGAAATTTTTAAGACACCATATGTAGAGAGGAATAGGCGGTCATAAACGTTATTATCATTTAGCATAATAGTATACAAACTTCACAAATTCTTTGAGGGAAAAGTCTAGTAGGACATCGTCCTTTTCATGCTACACCGTACACAAACTGAGCCTGATCTTACACCCAGGGTCATGTGAATCAGTTGACCCTAATATTGGTGTGAGGTCATTATCGTTTATGGTCATGACCAATATGAAATGGGGATTTCTGATTGGTCTACTATTGTCTTGTTCGTCTGTCAGCATGAAGAGGACCACTCTGTCATCCAGCTGTAGTGAGATGTTTCCTCATGCGGCTGTAGAGTCCGATTTTTGCCCGGAACCAGCGTTCACAGTATGGGCAGGAGAGCAGAGCAGTGTAATTGTACTTAATTAAAAGTGCTCTTGACACCAAAAATAACCTTAGCTGATTGTAACTGACATAACTGGTATTACCTGGCTAATAGACACATTTACAATAAATATGCACAGTTCTCTTGTTATATTCAAAATTCTAACGCTCTACCTTGGAAAAGTCAGCAAAAGCTAGTACTGGCGGGTGATTTGCATCTCTACATTTTATTTTTGCATATCTGTATTTTTTCCTGAGCTGACGTCATCCAGTGATGTCAGCTCAGGAAAAAAGGACGGAAATGCAAAAATAAAACATAGAGATACAAATAGAGATGCCCGAAGCCGTAAGCTTGCTAGAGTCTCCAAAACTCCAACTTTTAGAAGGCCGTACAAGCTCAGTTTCTCAGTCACCATGATTGGAACAAACTTCAATTGACTAAATTGTATGTACACTTCTGAAATTTGTATGTATTTCACAGAATTTTTTTGTGTGTCATGAGCACTTTAATAAATGTGTAATACTTACCTGTGTGTCTGTGTTACAGAGAGAGGTGATCCCAGCTGCCAGAATGGCTGCCCTGCCCTCCACATTCCACACCCTCCCCATCCAGGCACACGAGTACCAGCTGGCCTTCATCACTGTCCCAGAGGACGTAAGTCTCATAACAGTTATACAATATCTGCTTTACAAACTACAATCTACATTGTGTAAACTTCAGGTGAATGTATCTATTGGGTTTAATTGCATAAATTATGTTCATTGCTGACTTAATCAACAAGTGTAAATGTGTTTATTGATGAAATTATTGTTTATCTGTGACTTTATCAACAAGTGTATAGTGTTGATTGATGAGTTTATCAGTGAGTTTATCAATGGTCAATGATGTTCAAGAGCTTTTGTGTTTACTACTGACTCTATAACATAGAAGTAGTTTTGCATGTATATTTCAAATTACATGTAAAATGTTTGGCAACATGCAATTTTTTATGTGCCATGGGTTAAGATCGGGACTTTTAATGTTGTATTCAGAAAGTATTTCTGAATTGCAGAACTTAATATTGATATTCTGCAATATTGCTGAACACTGAAAAAAGTGTTTGTACCACTGCAAGTGTATTGTGTTCATGGGTAAATAAATCTACAAATAGTTTGAAGCAATTGTCCTTGTTAGTAACGTTACATGTACATGACTTGTATGATGTATCAAGCAAAAAACTTGCTTTCAAGAAATGAGTGGGGTCATGCCCAAAAATACCCCGGCCTACACTGGTTGATAGACAGTGTAGGGGGCTGAATCACAGTGTAGGGGGTCTAAATTACAGCGTAGGGGGCCCTATGCTCAAACAGCCTAGTGAGAACTATGAGTAACCCCCTCCCTACCCTCTGTCCTCCCCCCAAGCCCGAGGCTAAGAAAGACGCCCAGGAAGCCTTCGTGAAGGACGTTCTGAACCAACAGCTGGTGCTGAACGTGGAGTACAAGAACCAGGGGCAGGACATGGTCATCCTGCTGTCCGCTGACAAGAGCTCGGACATCGGCCTGGGACTGGTCAAGGACGGACTGGTCATAGTGGAGGCACGGCGCGAGAAAAGGCTGCAGAAGATATACTAGTAGTATATAGATAATCCAATGGACCTATACCATTATTATGTCACAGTTTGTTTACCTGTTTTAAAGAACATTCTAGCACAGTCAGTTAAAGAATAGAGATCATTTCAAAGTTTTCAAAGTCAGGTATGTCTGGTTTTTGCTGCGTCTAGTTGTGTTGACACAGCATTACATGCCGCATGGGTGATTTAGTTGTGACATTTGACAAAAGTAGTACTGTATTAAAAGCCTTATATTAGGCTAACGCTACACAAACACACACCGCGCTACGCACCTCTGTACAATATAAACGTCGATAGACCGGCATTCTTTGCGGTAAACAAACTGTGACGTAATAATGGTATAGGTCCATTAATCATTATCGTTAGAATAATTGGTTCTCGGATTCACCCACTGGCAGGCCTTCACTTTTTTTCTTTTTCGCAAAAAAAAAGTTATTTTAACTTTAAAAGTCTCATATTTTGTCCTCAACATCTAATGAAAATCCTTGCCAGAGTATATTTTATATACACGTATCAAAATTCATATAGCAAGTTTTAGTGTTTCTTAAAATGTGCTTTATGCATGTTTTGGATGTATAAATCTATGATAACCCTGGTATGTACTTGCAAAAAGTGGACAGATAATTTAATCCCTCCAAATACCACAAAAGAAGTTGCACAATTTATGATGAGACAGTTGATAAGCTTACTGTGACTTTTCTGCAGGTCAATGACTACAAGAAGGCCCAAGAAGCAGCCAAGAATGCTCGGGTAAGAACATCATTCATTGAATTATCACCCTTTACAACAGTACCATCACGATGGTCAGATTTGGGCCCAAAAGTCCCACTCCGCTACTATGGAGATCGAATCCCCCGAACCCGCGAATCTTGTTCGATATGACGTCATTCGAATAGAGCGGGCGTTCGATCTGGGGTTACCCGCGGTCATTTACAGTAAAGCCGCTACAACCGGCTACTTCAAGCCCTTTTTTACTTGGGAACCACGGAACAGGAAAAATCCACCTTTCCACAAATATGAACCGTTTTCAAAACATTACATCTATGCCGTGATTTTATTGTGGATATGTAACATGTAACGAAGCTACTGCCGTCATCGTGGGTGACCTTGAAGGTCAGAATTCTTGTTGACGCTGTTATAAAATCCAGGTCCCCATATCCAAGTGGCACAGCATGCGTGCAAACATGGTATTTTAACCATTCCCAAAAATCGTTCAAATTACCTCATTGAGGTCTTCTTTGGAAGAGCAACGATTTCCGCAGATTTCTGTCTTAGGGATTTTTTAAATATGGCCGCGATTATGAATTATCGGTATTTAAAGTTAAAACACTGCGTTTTTAGCTCTTCTTTTGACTGTAAGTCGAGTTTTAGTTAAAAATAAAAAAATCCTAAGACAGAAAGTTTAAATTTAGTGTAATATTTCTAAAAATCCAAAAATCTAACCTTATTTTTAATTTTCGGGGCCTCTTAAAATCAGTTGTTTGGTTCTCGTGAACCCTTTTTGAAATCCGAAATTGATCTCATTTGGAAGCAAATATACACAAAGTGGAGCAAAGGCAGTGCAAGAATAACATTTGAGGTAAACAAAATCACTTATTACATTTTATTTTGACGAGTATTTACTCTCCAATTACTTTTGTTTATTTTCAAATTTTACCCGTTGCCCCCGGGCCGGCCCGGGACTCCCGCGCGCCCACGATCGAACGCGTTCTGTAACCCGATACCTCCCTAGTAATGCGACTTTTAGCCTAGCAACCGACAGCCGTGCATTCAAATAGAAAGTATGTCATTCAACAAATTCCGTAACGTATACGTGTATTTATGTTTACGCCATAAAGCCAAGAAATGCCATATCTTTGCTACATTGTATGTTACATAATTTATACGTCTTATACGTTTCAAAGTGGATACTTCCAACCATGATGTGGATGATTTTAGAATATATCATAACCATATCTCTTACAGGATCTTCTGTTGCCTTAAATGCAATGGATGTTCCGAGAGCTACATTCCTTAATGTTATCTGTGTGAAAGATGTCCACAAAAGTACGTGGGTATGGTTAGCCGTACTAGTGAGAATGGGTTGTTTGTATCCTAACGCCCTGGGCCACTCACTCTTCGGTGGCGTACTTGAATCAATACTGGGATGTTCTATCCTTGTTAGGGCAAGCTTTGATATCTGAGGTTTGATAGAAGCTATCACTCATATCATCCTTGTAAAATGTGCCTGAAAACCCATTTTAAATTTGTCTATCCCGAATAGGTACATGTATCTATCATTCACTCATGAAGTAAAAGGTTACAAACTTTCGCCAAAAAGGTTATGTTTTCAGTGGCATTTGTGTGTGTGTGTGTGTGTGTGTGTGTGTGTGTGTGTGACAGGGGACTGTCTTTTGGTAGAAAAACTGATAGGATTCATGCAAATGAGGATCTGCACAATCAGCATAATCAATGAGAATCTGCATGAGAATCAGCATGAGGATCTGCATGATAAATTTGCATAATCAGGGGGAATAATCTATAATTTGTCAGTCATTAAGGTATGAGGTCGTGGAACTCTAGTTTAGCATAGTTTTTAAAGTCGCCATAAACCTTATGGTCTTATTCGCAGTACTAAGTATAAGTTCTACCATTCTTCCAAAACTACATGAGTGCTTGGTGCATGGTGCTTGTCATGAATCTTCAGTCACAATCATCATTACCATTATCAGCATGATGTAGTTTGTCATAAAGCCTCACAGTCACCATCATCAACACATTATCAGCATGCATGTTGCCATAAACCTTCACAGTCACTATGATCATTAACAAATTATGTAGTTTGCCATAACTTCACAGTCACCATCATCAACAACATTA